GGTACTGGGGGAGAAGAGAAGGGGGGGAAAGGAGAGCCAGGAGGGAGAATGGGGAGAAGGCGGCCCGGAAGACGGGGAGGAGGGAGGGGGGAGCAGGGAGAGAGGGGAGAGATGGGGAAAGGGGAGTCAGGAGAAGGGGAGATGGGAAGAGGGGAGAAGGCATCCCGGGAGAGAAGAAATGGGAGAGGGGGGGATAGTGGGGAAGAAGAGAGGAGAAGGGGCGAGAAGGAAGAGGGGAATCGGGAGAGGGGGGAGAGATGAGGAAAGGGAAGTCAGGAGAGGGGGAGATGTGGAGAGGGATCTGGGAGAGAGGGGGAGGTAGTGGGGGAGAAAACGGAAAAACAGAAGGGGAAGGGGAGGAGAGCGGGCAGGGAGAATAGGGAGGCGACCCGGGAGACGGGGAGGAGAGGGGAGAGAGGGACCGACCCGCGCTTCCCCCCGCCCCGACCGCACCGGGCCCGGTCTCCCCGCAACAGCCACCCGAGGCCTCCAGACCGGAGCCCAACCCGGAACCCCGCCAGGCCCCTCTGAGCCCTCCCAAAAGACCCGGTGCCGGTGCCGGTCCAGGTGCCGCCCCCGCCCCCACCTGACCGGGCCGCGATCCCGCTCCCGGTGCCGCTCTCCGCCCCGTCGCAGCGGTGACGTCACGGCCGCGGCGCCGCGCGCGGGGGCCGCCGGGAGCTGCAGTTCCAGGGCCGGGAGCTGTAGTGCCGGGGCGCCCCCTGCCGGCGGGGCGGGGAAGGGGACGACACCCCCGGGACCCCCGGCGGGACCCCCGGCCCGGCCCCGCTCCCGGTGCCGCAGGAAGCGCCGGGCTTTGTCGGCCGCGGCCGGAGCCACAGGAAGCATCTGGTTTCCTCCGCGTCCGGCCGCGGGGCCCGCCGTGGGAGCAGGTCCTGCCGGCCGTCCCACGGCTGCCGTTCCCAGCCCCCCCCCCTCACTTTGAGAGCTGCCCTGGTGACCCCCGCGGTGTGCTGGGGATGGACCTGTGATGCCCTGCCAAGCCTCGGCTGTGCCAGCGCAGGGGTCTGGAGCCCTGAGCCCTGGCACCCCAACAGACCCCCGCCTGCTCCAGCCCCTGCTCCAACCTGCCTGGCTCCACTGGGATGCTCCTTCCTTGCAGGTCCGGGCAGATTTTCCCCCCTGCCCACCCCCAGAACCCACCCCAGGCTCCAGGGCTGCTCCAGTGGGGCACAGGACCTGGGGCCGGGAGCTGGTGGAGGAGCCAAACCCAAGAAGCTACAAAGAAATGGCTTTATTGGGTGGGGGCGAGTCCCGGAGTGGCCACGGGGAGGGAGCTGCCCCGGGAAGGGGCACCAGGACGTCAATTCCTCTTCCTGCCCTTGCCCACGGCCTTGGCGGGGGCAGCGACGGGCGCTGCAGACTGGTAGAGGGTGGAGGAGATCTTGTTGATGTAGTAGAGGCCAACCATGGAGAAGATGAGGCTGCGAGGGAAGAAGGGAAGAGGCTGCTCAGCTGCCGGGGGCAGGAACACGCCAGGGTCATCCAATGCCTTCCCTGGGATCCCACTGTGCTGCCCTTCCTAAACACCTTCCCTGGGATCCCCCTCCTCTGCCCTTCCTAAACACCTTCCCTGGGATCCCACT